CTTGCACTGACCTTGGAGAACTGCGCCGTTACCTTGGTTTGCAGATATCCAGGGACAGAGCTGCGCGCACCATCACTTTGACTCAGTCACACTTGGTGCGCCAGGTCCTTCAGAGGTTCGGCCTTTAGTTCTCCTCTACACAGCCCACCCCTCTGCCTGTAGACCACAGACTCTCCGCTCCAGTTCCTGAGGAGTCAGTAGAGCCCAGTGGTCCTTATGCAGTGCTGTTGGGTTGCCTCTTGTACCTGATGACTTGCACTCGCCCAGATCTCGCATACCCTCTCAGCATTCTGGCTCGCTTTGTGGCCACAGGCAGACACCGACCGCAGCACTGGTCTGCCGCTAAGAGGGTTTTGCGTTATCTCGCAAGTACATTGGGCATGGGGTTAGTGTTAGGAGGACGCAGGCCAGTGGTCCTTACTGGACACTCAGACGCTTCTTGGGCAGACGACGCCTAGACCTTCAGGTCTTCCCAGCGCTACTGCTTCAGCCTTGGTTCAGGTGTCATTTCGTGGAGAGCTACCCGCTCCTCGTCTGTTGCCCAGTCCATCTGTGAGGCCGAGATCTACGTTGGTGCTATGGCGGCACAGGAGCTCCGCTGGCTGACCTTCTTGCTCACTGACTTAGGTGAGCGGCCTAGCTCTGCCCCGGTCCTGTATGCTGACAACAGGGCCATGATCCTCCTGTGTCAGGAGCCTCGACTCGAGGGCAGAGCGAAGCATATCCAGCTGCGGTACTTCCTCCTGCACGAGCTACAGCAGCGCCGCCAGGCTCGCGTAGTACACTTGGCCTCAGGTGCCAACACAGCTGATATCTTTACAAATGCGCTTGCGCCTAAAGATCATCAGCGGCACTGTGTACAGCTCGGTCTAGTTCCTGTAGCCTCTCACTTGCTAGGGCCTTGACTTTGTACTGTCCTTTATATATATATGTACTCAGACTGGACTTGTGTCCTCTCCCGGTGGCTGGACTAGTAGTGCCAGCTTGGTCTTGTTCTTGCCTTGCCTGTACTCCTTTTGACTGGTCTTTAGACCGTTGTCTCAGTGGCTGGACTAGTAGTGCCGCCCTGAGCTGCTTGTTCAGGAACTGCCCCTATGCGGTCTAGGGGGTGTGTCAAACATTTGTATCTCTAATGTTTGTATAGACTGTATAGGGTCACCTCTTAGAGAGTACAACCCTTAGACATATATCCTTGTACCCAAGTTCTCTAGTTACTCGATTATTCAGTTCTAAGAGTGGTGTGCTTGCGGACGTGTCAACATACATACAGATTTTATGGATGTTGGTAATAAGAGATTATAATTAGAGTATGGCAACCTATATACAGATTTTATGGATGCTGGTCTATTCCTGATGTTCTGCAATTTTTGAAGTGTACTGGCTCTCTCCGTGGAATGTGGTGGTCTTGCGGACGTGTCAATGGGGCCTTTGCGCAGCCTGGCTCGGCCTCGCTGTTGATTGGTCATTTTTCACGAGACATGACATTGAGCTCAGGTTTGGCGAGCTACGTGCGCTCCGACATGCAATGAATCACACAATGTCGGAGTTGCCATGGTTCGAGCCGCGATGCCATCTAGCCCCCACGAAAAGCTGTCGGCCCAGTGCATGATGGTTTCTCAGATTGGAGAGCCCCTGGCACGAATATCTATTGCGCGATTTGTTGGGCCTTAGCAAGACAGACCATTGGTTCGTGCAGGCGCTCGCGTGCTAGTGGTAGGATAATGTCCGACTTCAGAGTCCAGGTGGGCGCCTCACCACTAACTTTTGATTGATGTGTCCGAATGCATTTGGACCCTTTTTGTCGGTTACGTGTCGCGTTCCTCACGTGCGAGGCTTCTTGATCTGCCTCAGGTCGCCCAAGGACTTCTCAAGGCTTGGAGCCGGCTCATTGAAATAGGCCAGGCTAGAAGTTCAGAACATATGAAATTAGCAAGTCATCCGACCATCAAACGCGTGAACATTTGCCTGCTAGAGCGACCATCGCAACTCTCTCTCCCGAGCTTCCATTTTGCATCGCCAGAGCCTGCCTCCCAGCCATGGCTCGCCCGTGCCGCACCATGGGCGTTTTCTCTCTCCTCCTCCTCGCTTCCGCGCTCCTCTCCGCGCATGCCGCGGAAATGAAGGCCCGCGATGACCTCGCGGGCTCCGCAGGCTCCAACACCGAGTTTCTCGGCAAGTACGACACCGTCACTCCCGCCGCGGTCATCACCCCCCGGCCCAAGGACCCCACGCCAGTTGCTGAGCCTGTGCCCGAGCCTGTGACTCCCGAGCCTGTGGCTCCCGCGAACCCCATCTCGACTCCCACTCCGGTCACCGCCACCAATCCGGTGTCGTCCGCTCAGGACGCGTTCACTGACAATCCGTACGGCAGCTCGACCCCGTCACTCGCAGGTTCGGGCCCGTCGTTCGACCCCAACGACCCTCTGGGAGGACGGGACCCCCTCGCGGGCGACGACTCCAAGACTGGCATGCAGCAGACAAGCGCGACTGTCTCTAGCGAGTATACCGGCACTGCGGTACCCAACCAGGCCAACCAGGTGACTCCGACTTTCCCTGATACACCCACCCCCACCACCAACGAGTCCGGCGTGGCGGACTCGTCCACCTGCGACCCGTCCGACCTGGACGGTTACACGTCCTCGTACCAAATCACCAAGTTCGGCCACGTGCTGCACTGGGCCATCGTTTCCCCAACGGTCGTGAAGATCGCGCTTGAAGCGCGGCACGGCAGCGGCGCGGCGGCGGGATGGGTGTCCGTTGGATTTTCCAAGGACGGCAAGATGTCTCCAGCTGATGCCATCGTCGGTAACCTGCCCGACTCCCCCGTGGCGGCGTACTCGATGAGCGGCTACGATGCGGCGTCGATTACTGTGAACAAGAACCTGTGGATCGGCGATGCTAGCCTGGTGTCGAAGACCAATGGAAGCCTCATAATGATGTAAGTTGCCTCCGCTTACTATGAGATAAGTCCATTCCATCCTGCAAAGTTTTCAAGTGCCATGACTCCAGCTTGTGACGTCAGCCCTGCATTGCTGGCTCCCGCCATCCTTCGATGCCACCGTCTGGGTGTCTGATGAGACCGGCTTGTTCACTGACGTTTTCCGTCTCCTTGACGCTTTCAGGTTCCATCGGTCCATCACGGACGGCGTGGCGCCCATCTCCACTACGGCGCCCACCACAGTCATCTGGGCTTTCTCCCTCGATAACACCCAGCCCCTCGCGTACCACGGCGACAAGAGACGGTACGCTCGCCTTCCCGCCCCTCGCCCTTCCGCTCTCCTTCCCTCGCAGGCGGTAGTTTGCGCCATCTCATCCGCGCGCCTTCCCCTTTGCGCTTAACGCTCCTCAACGAGCCACGGGCCTCCGAGACTGATCCCGTTTTCTCTTCACCCTTGTTATTTCTCATGCAGCGGCTCTTTCCAAGTGGACTTCTCCTGCAACGGCGGCGGTGGCGGCGTTGCGACGCAGCCCACGACGCCTGTTCCGGCCCAGGGCACGACGCAGGTGACGGTGGGGTCGTCGTGCCCGGTGTCGACGCTCGGCCAGTACGACCACCAGGCGGACCTCTACGACGGAAAGTAAGTGCCTCCGCCCGTCCTTTCCATTGCCACACTTGCCATACTTTTCAGCATCGTAAACCAGCTCGCGAGTTGTTTCGTGTCGTCAATTGCAATTTGCTTTCTTTCCGTCTCACTTCCATCTGATGTGCTCTCTCATCTGGTTTCCTTGGCAGGATTCTGCTCCACTGGAAGGTCCTCCCCGGCCCCGTCTTCCAGATGGCTCTCGAGGCGAAGCGCCTCAGCGGCGCGGAGAACAGCTGGATCTCCGTCGGCTGGTCGAACAACGGCGCCATGGCTCCCGCTGATGCCGTCGTTGGTAACATGCCCGGTATCAAGGCGTACAGGCTCGATGGTTACAAATTCGCGGAGCTCGTCAACGATACGTTTTCGCTGGGGGCCAACCCGTCCGTTACCACCTCGGCGACTGGATCCACCGTCGTGAAGTAGGTCCTTCCAACCATTTGTAATTGGTAGTGCAGCTATCCGTTGCCCGATAACCTGGCCGGTGTCTACCGCCCGCTCGAAAATTCGCGTAAACGCGACTGCTCATCGCTTCCGCGTGTGCTTGGTTTCTCTTGCTCCACCAGGTTCTCTCGGCGCAATGGCGATGGTGGCACTGTTCCAATCAACCTGAGCGGCGAGACATACGTCATCTGGGCTTTCTCCCGCGGAATGCTCCAGTCGTTCGGCTACCACGATTACAACAGGTGCGACATAGTGATCCCGTTCGTTTGCGACCTCATTTCAAATGTTCGCCCATGTTGACCGTAATGGCGGAGTGTCTTTGTTGTTCACAGGGGTCTCGCCATGGTTGACTTCGTCTGCAACACCGCACCCACCATCCTTATGCGACCTGGCGATAACGTGGCGAACATTCCCGGCGCCAACGTGAACCAGGGTAGTGACGCGGGTTTGACCCCAGCCGAGCGCGCGGCCAAGGAGTCCCGCAGGGAGCGCAGGCGAGCGCGCCGAGCCCAGCGGGGGGCGATTTTCCGCTCGTGGGCGGATGCCGCTCTCGGCCTCCCCAACCCGATCCCCTCTTCCCAGCCGGCGCCGACCTACCCCTAGATCCACGACGCCACGAGTACTTCCGAGAAAGAAGGGGAAATTAGGTCATTAGCTGCTAAGCTTATTTGCAAGGAAAGGATATGATTGGACAAATGATTGCATCGTTATTATGTATTAGCTCATTATTTGCTTGTTATAAGCTATAGCTATATTACAGCCCATATTCTGCTCTACTAACCCCCGTTATCCTTGTTCTCTCTGCTCTAACATTTAGGTATAGCACACATACCAAAACAAACAAATATATATATATATATATATATATATTCTAATTTGATATATTAGTTTATGACAAGCAGCTAATTGCATCACAACCATCTTTTAGGCTGTGCAGTGCAGCCCTTCACAACTCCAAACGATGCATGTGGTCTGGCCGACATGTCCTCACATCACCTCCCATCAACACCAACCCTCTCTCACCACCACCACCACAACCACAACCTCTCCACCACCACCACCACCACCACCACCACCACCACCACCACCACCACCACCACCACCACCACCACCACCACCACCACCACCACCACCACCACCACCACCACCACCACCACCACCACCACCACCACCACCACCACCACCACCACCACCACCACCACCACCACCACCACCACCACCACCACCACCACCACCACCACCACCACCACCACCACCACCACCACCACCACCACCACCACCGCCACCACCGCCACCACCACCGCCACAACCTCTCCACCCTGCACAATGTTCAGCATGCATTGTGTGGTGTGCAGTGTGCAGCGTACGCCTACCCTCTATCAAAATTGAGAAGTGTGATGGATAGAGTGAGAGTACACACAGATATACCTAAGTGTTGTACTCTCTAAGAGGCGACCCTATACAGTCTATACAAACATGACAAATACACATGTTTGACACACCCCCTAGACTGCATAGGGGAATGCCCTAAACAAACAGCTCAGGGCGGCACTACTAGTCCAACCTCTGAGACAAGGGTCTGAGAGACCAGTCAGAAGGAGTACAAACAAGGCAAGAACAAGAGCAGGGCGGCAGTACTAGTCCAGCCATTGGGAGAGGACACAAGTCCAGTCTGAGTATACGTATAAAGGACAGTACAAAGTCAAGGTCCTAGCAAGTGAGAGGCTACAGGAACTAGACCAAGCTGTACACAGTGCCGCTGATGATCTTTAGGCGCAAGCGCCTTCGTAAAGATATCAGCCGTGTTGGCACCTGAGGCCAAGAGTACTACGCGAGCCTGACGTCGCTGCTGTAGCTCACGCAGGAGGAAGTACCGCAGCTGAATGTGCTTTGCTCTGCCCTCGAGTCGAGGCTCCTGACACAGGAGGATCATGGCCCTGTTGTCAGCGAACAGGACCGGGGCAGAGCTAGGCCGCTCACCTAAGTCAGTGAGCAAGAAGGTCAGCCAGCGGAGCTCCTGTGCCGCCATGGCACCAGCGTAGATCTCAGCCTCACAGCTGGACTGCGCAACAGACGAGGAGCGGGTAGCTCTCCACGAGACGGCACCTGAGCCAAGGCTGAAGCAGTAGCCCTGGGTAGACCTGAGTGTCTCAGCGTCGTCTGCCCACGAAGCGTCTGTGTGTCCAGTAAGGACCACTGGCCTGCGTCCTCCAAGCACAAACCCCATGCCCGATGTACTAGCAAGATAACGCAGAACCCTCTTAGCGGCAGACCAGTGCTGCGGTCGGTGTCTGCCTGTGGCCACAAAGCGCGCCAGGATGCTGAGAGGGTATGCGAGATCTGGGCGAGTGCAAGTCATCAGGTACATGAGGCAACCCACCAGCTCTGCGTAGGGGCTACTGGGCTCTACCACCTCCTCAGACACTGGAGCGGAGAGTCTGTGGTCTACAGGCAGAGGGGTGGGCTGTGCAGAGGAGAACTGAAGGCTGAACCTCTGAAGGACCTGGCGCACCAAGTGTGACTGAGTCAGGGTGATGGTGCGCGCAGCTCTGTCCCTGGAGATCTGCAAGCCAAGGTAACGGCGCAGTTCTCCAAGGTCAGTGCAGGTGTGTCTCTTCAGCAGCTCTGCCTTCACGGAGGCCAGTGCGTCCCTGTCTGCCGTGGCAAAGACCAGGTCGTCGACGTAAACAAGGATGTAGAACGGAGTCTGGCCAGCACGAACGAAGAGTGAAGGGTCTGCGGAAGACGGAAAGAACTGCAGGTCAGCAAGCGTAGCACGGAGAGTGTCGTGCCACTCACGGGGAGCCTGGCGCAGGCCGTAGACGGGGCGCCGCAGGAGCCACTGGGTCCCAGGAGGGAAGGTGCCAGTGAAGCCCTGAGGGCGCCGCAGGTAGACCTGCTCGTGTAGGCTGCCCTGAAGGAAGGCAGTGGAGAAGTCGAGGGAGTGAAGCTCGTAGTCACGCTGAGCAGCTAGGTGTAACAGAACCCGAAGAGTAGTCATCTTCGGGGTCGGAGCGAAGGTCTGGAAGAAGTCCACCCCCTCGCGCTGACTGAAGCCTCTAGCCACATAGCGCGCCTTGAAGACAGGCGGCTCTCCAGGAGGGCGCTTCACCTTGAAGAGCCAGCGGCCATCGACTACGTTCACCCCAGGTGGGGGAACTGCGTCGACGAAGGTGCCGGTGGATCTCCAAGATGCCATCTCCTGCTCCATGGCAGCTATCCACTGCGAGGCCCAGGGTCCCGAAGTCGCCTCAGCGTAAGTGCGAGGGGTCGGGATGTCGAAAGCATCTGGGTCACCCTCAGGGACTAGCAGCATGGAACAGAGATGGGGAGCAGCCTCGGAGAGGAAAGCAAGCTCGAACTGGCGGTCCTCCAGGACGCCACTGCCAAGGGCAGGAGCACCCCCGACAGACGGAGGACAGGCAGGGTCAGAGACCAGAGCGGAGGCGTAGTCAAGGCGACGGGTAGAGGCGAAGTCAGCGACAGCAGCGACAAGAGCGTCAAGGCACAAGGTCGGAACAGACGGGTCGGTAACGAGAGAGGCAAGGACCCGAGGAACAAGGGGACGAGCGGCACGAAGGTAGTCAGACAGCGGGGGGGGTGCAACAACAAGGGAGGACGGAGGAGGCGACGGCAAAGCCGACCCTCAACACAAGGCGAGCAGTGAGCAGTGAGCAGGGAAGGGTGCGGGCAGTGAGCTTGTCTGTGCCGGAGGCACGGACGTGAGCAAGGCAGCCCCAGACGTGGAACGCAGACGCGTCACCAGGAGACCCAGTCCAAAGACGAGTCGGCGAAACCTGCGGCTGCTGAGGGTGCGGCCACAAGTTAAGCTGGTGAGAAGCGTAGTGCACAGCGAACGGCCACAGAAAATGGGGTGCACCAGCATGGATCATGGAGGTGCGAGCCACCTCCATGACCAAACCGATGCGTCGCTCAGCGACCCCATTCTGCTGTGGGGAGTCCGGTAGGGTGAACGTCTGGGTGATGCCCTCCGCACGACAAAAGCGACCAAGGACACCTGAGGCAAACTCGCCACCACGGTCGGAGTGAAGACGCAAGACAGGGAGACCGCGGTGGACACGCGCAGAGACAAGCCAGGGAATGAGAGCGCCAGGCACGTCGGCCTTGCGCTCCAGGGGAAAGACTGTGGTGTAACGAGTGAAGTTGTCGACAAGCACAAGGAAGTAGCGCTCTCGACGCGGCCCAGGGACGGGGGCGGGGCCCCAGACGTCCAGGTGCAGGGTCTGCAGCGGCGCGGCGGTAGGGGGAAACGAGGAGGAGTGCGGGGCACGGCGAAGCCGACCCTCAACACAAGGCGTGCAAGGTGGGGCTGGGGAGGAGGGAAACGCGGGGAGGGAACCTGGGAGACCAAGGACAAGACCGTGCTGGGACATGTGACGCAGACGCGGGAGCGCAGGGTGACCTAGGCGGTGGTGCCAAAGGAGAGTCGGGTGAGTGAGGGACCGACAGGAGCAGGCAGCAGCAACCTGGGTAGACGCAGCCACCTGAGGAGGCGCCCCAGCCGGGGGGGTCACGGTGTCCAGAGTGAACAGGCCGGACAACGGGTCCCGGGGGAACGTAGAAAGGGGGGCACCAGTGGCGGCCTCGGTACAGACAGCATACCGCTCGTGACCAGGGAACGTAGTGGTGACGCCAAGGTCCTGGAGGCAGCCGACACCAACTAGGTTCCTGGAGAACGAGGGGATATGCAGACCTGTGAGAGAGCCCGAAGGAACCGCCGGACAGGGAAGGGTGGTGGAACTGCGGGCGACGACCGGACCGCCGGAGGGGTCAGCAAGAGAAACGGCAGCTGGGACAGGAAGCGGCGTCAGGGTGGTAGAGTCGCGGAAGAAACACCGAGAAGCGCCAGAGTCCAAGGTGAAGGAAAGCGAAGCAGAGGCGTCTGGCAACGGAACGACGGCGGAAGCACCAAGACTATACAAAGCAGGGGATCCTACGCCTGACGCAGCAGGGGAGGCTAAGCTAGGCACACCTACACTAGGCAACAGTGAGTAATAAGCGGGAACCACACTAGAGTCATCAGCATACATCACATGCAGAGCAGCAACAATGGCATCCATGTCCATTTCAAAAATCTGAATCTTACGACTAAGCAAACTGTGCCAGTCCGGGAGGTCTGGCGACGGGCCGAAGCGCTGACGAAAGAGATCGTCGAGGCGACGAAAACAGCGGGGAGTGGAGTGACCGAGCCTACCGCAAATGAAACCGCGGCGAGGACCGGTCTGGATCTGGTACTGACAACGCCCGCCACCAGAGCCACCACTCGGCACACCACCACGCGCCCGGCCACCGCCAGCGCCGGGCCACCCGGGCGGGAGGACACTCGTCTGCCGCGTCTGCGACGGCTGCTGCGGCTGCTGCGAAGGCTGCGACTGCGGCGGTTGCTGCGGCTGCTGCAACTGCAGGGGCGGCGGCTCAGCTGGACTGGGCAGGTTCCCCTCGTCCGCTCCAGCACCAGACGACCCGACCCCACCACTACCCCCTCCCGCACCCCCGCCGCCGCCGCCGTCGCGCCCAACCTTGGGGCGGCGGCCCTTCCCCGAACGAAACTGCGCTGCAGCATCAGTCTCAGCCACTGCGGCAGAGCCGTCGGAGAAGGTACACTGGGCGGGGGCACAACCCTGAAAGATAGGGACCGGCACGACACCGCTCGCCTGGGCGATGGAGCGGTGACGGGTCTCTATCACAGTCAGGGTGTCTACAAAGTCAGTGAGGATGAGGTCTGCAGGGTGAATGCTAAGGAAGCGGTCGCGGGCGACAGCAAGGTGGTCAGGGAGGCGGGTGGCAAGCAGGTAGAGGGTAGAGGTAATGGGCGGCTGGTGGGCTCTAAGCTGTGCATCAGTGCAGGCTGCACGCCCGGTCTCATCTATCGAGCGCAGGTGGGCAGCGAGGTCAGAGACAGTGGGGAAAGATGCAAGGTCAGGAAAGAGCATCGGGAGGATCAGGCGACCCACCGAGGCAGCCGGAGGGGTGGAATAGCGCTGGATGACAGCATCTAAGTATGCCTGAGCAGTGGTGAGAGACCTAAAGCGAGGGCGCTCGGACGGGGGAAGGGCGTTGCTGATGGCAAGCTGGGCGACAGCATCGCGAGAAAGCCAGACAGAGCGCGCACGGGCAGTGGCAGCAGTGGACTCGCGCTCAGTGGGTGTGGAGTCAGCGGGCAGAATAGCAAGGGGGCCTGGGCAGGGGAGCGTACCGTCAAGGTGTGCGGAGAGCGGTTCACCATCCTGCCGCTTGCCAGTGAGTTGGCGACGGAGGTCGGCAAGCCACGCCTCGAACTCGAGAGGCTGGCCTTCAGCGTCGAAGCGAAGCTCCGCCGCCATCAGGAA